CACACACACACACACACACACACACACACACACACACACACACACACACTGTATAGTCATCACAATCCATGTAAACCATGACTGAAAAACGTTTTCATTTGAAGTCATACTGTACATGAAGCTACTACAACTACTACTCTATTCCTTCATAATAAACCCTTTTCACCACAACCCAAACATCTATACACAACCTCCTGTTACTGTTTTGTGTGTCATGTCAAATTACCTCACTAAACACTGGGGACAGGATAAGCTCATTAAAAAAACAGGGGTGTATGAACTTCAGAAACCGCAAACACGCCCCCCCTCTGAGGAAACATGCTATCCACAAGCCATATGAGGCATCCGAGATCCCCCAGCTTAACAAATGACCACACACACAATCCTCTGCCACCACAGAGTGACCCAGGGATGAACAGTAAACACAGCACCCTGGGGAAAAGAAACAACCATGCTGAACTTAGGGAACGCTGGGGTTTACCTCAAACATGCTTCCCTCTGTCACTAGCAAGAAAGAAGATGATGTATTAATACCCTGCAGGGGGAAATTAGAAGGCGTCACATGCTCACCCTGATGCAAGTTGTCAGACAGTGCTGACTGGGTTGATGACAAACATCTGCTTGCTTTGCATTTACTGTGATTTCATTTTTTTTCTGAAACATTTAAGTTTTTCTTGTTTCCATTGTATGCTCTCATTGCTGTAGCATCAATTAAAGAAACCAGAAAATATAGAAAATGTAAGCCTGTATCAAGTCCGCTTGTACATCTCAGGTACAGCTTTAAGTCTTAACTTACTTGAAACTTGACAATCTATAAAGATGGAAAGAGACCTAGCAAAAGCATCAGTGTCAAGTTTGTATGTGTTATAATACTGGGGAAAAACAGGACAGCAAAAGACTATAGAAATACCAATAACAAGTATAAACATACAAGTTAAATGTTCAAATGCTTTGTCAATTCAATGGTCAACATTCAAGATGTGATTTAACTTAGACTATCACTGGTTCGAAGTGAAGAGAGAGACAAAGGAAGAGACTCAGAAATAGAGAGACATCAAACAAGAAAAGGACAAAAGGTTGAAAGACAGAAAGACAGGCCTAGACCCAGGAGCAGAGGGATATCCTGCCTGGGCTGTATTCCCACTCGTGTTCTCTTTCTTAAGGTCAAGCCAAATTACCAGTGCTGAGCTCAGTGCCGGGTTTGGTTCAATACGATCCTCAAACCCTGTACCCCCAACAGCTAACAGAGTACAGAAAGAAAGCAGATGGATAGAGACGCTCAAGCTCAGCGCCAAACTAATGCGGAGTAAACATGATGGAGGCCACACCCAGCAGGGCTTTTATGCTAATACTTCTGCTGTTTTGCTGTCCAGACATGAAAAAGGATTGGATGCAATCAGCATTTGGCCCACACTGAGGCACATTATGCAGGGACAGTTCAAAGGGGTGATGTCAGGTTTGTGTTTGCTGTCTGAAGACCTGAGAGAGTGAGGTCACTGTGTTAATCAGTTTTATAAAAGATTTACAGAAGATTGGTGCTCTGCGTTTTTCCCAATCTGGCTGAAGCACGTAGCGTTGCTGAAAATCAAGCTTTATATGTTTAAACATAACCAGACGTGACATCAGCACCTAATAGGCGTTGCAGCCACGTGGAACTGAAGTCATTCTCAGCTCTTCTATGTTTACTGCGTATCGGATAGTCGCTCTGCAGAAGCTGCTGACATACATTATGTTTAATAGCGACACCTTTTTTGAGAACAGTCAGCTATAAGTGTACCGTACATGTAATCTGAGCGGTGCGACTTACCATACTGAGCATCGTTGAAGGTCCCTGCCAGAGTTTTACACGACGAGTTGTCCCCGCCACACACTCCGCACTTGTCATTCCTGGCCTTCGAGTTAAGAACGTGGTCGCAGCCTGCTTGCTGAAGAAGTACAGATGGAGAGAAGATTTGTGAATTTATGTAAACCATACTTACAATGATTAGTGTGAATGAAAAGTCAAGCTTCATCCTTTCCATTTATTACAAAATGTGAATCGTGTATAAGTATGACTAAGCGGACGGTGTTAAGTTATTTTTGTGTCTGCAACATATGACACTACATATCATGACAGCATGATAATAAAACTAACATTATGTTAATGTTGAAGCTTACAGTATGTGTGTGTGTGTGTGTGTGTGTGTGTGTACATAGGTTCATTATACCCTGCAGAGGCCTTGAACACAGATGTCGTAGGTATCTGGCCCACATGGCGTGCCGTCTGTGACGCGGTCCTTCAGCTGATAGTACGCCGTAGTCCCAGCGACCCGGCAGAAGAGCTTACAGCGATCCTTCATTAGTACTGCATGGAGAAAGAAAGCAGACTATGGAAAAAGTTGTACTATAGCTAATGAGATTAATACAATTAAAATCCTGAACAATAACAAGATGAAAAGCCTCAAGATGACTTGCACGTGCTGATGAAACAACACATTTTTCATCCTATACCTAAGATCAGAGGACACTTGCTAGATTTTCCAAATTGGTATCCATTGTTTGGAAGAATCACTTTGTATCTGACGGCGCACTGGCTCTGGGGCTTGGCCTGTTTGCTTGTGTAGCATCAATTATATAAATGAGTCTCTTGCAGTAACTTAGACAAGGTGGTCTTTGCCAGATGGTAATCTCATGTAGCTGAGCAGGCTATGGAAGGGCTGCTTGTTGCTTTAATGTTGCTGTTGTTTTGGGTCAACTAAAGATTTAACCCTTGCAACTCTTATCGTGGGTTTGCAAGGTATGACAAATAAAGGACACACCCACAGATATACTACTTGCACATCCACCCATTCCCTCTTCTCCCCTAATGTATTAAAACTGCATTAGATTCAAAAGCAGAAGACACATAGATATCACAATTTTGCATGTATTGTCCTTCGAATCCCTCCCACACACAATGTGGTGTGCGGCATTTTAGTTAAATGCACCAAACATACTGTATCACTGGCTTCAAACTACATTGTACAGTTGGATGTAAATAGTATCCATCTTTGATGTCACAGCTCAAGTCACCACGAAACATTCAAATGACATGCTTTGGGATTACATTGGCGCACTCACTGCCACTGTACTTGGGGACCCAGCGGACGGTGGGAGGTAGACCGTTGATGTTGAAGTGCTTGCCGTCAAAGTGAGAGCACTGCTCTTCGCGGAAATCTTTCTGTCCTCGCGGACACGGCTCAGTGTTGCAAGAGCGGAACTTCATCCTGCGACCAACACAGAACTTCCCGCCATTTCTGGGCCTGGAGCAAGACGGGACAGATCACATAAGCACTACACTTATTTTCAATTTAAAGACCATGTTTGCTCTTGTTTGACTGGTCTTTATGACTTCAAACCCACATTGTTTACATTAAATTCACACTTAGGAAACAAGCTCTCTCTGACTGGCTAAATGAATCTGACATGCAGGTTTAAAACTCACTTTAGCTTGTTTACAACTCTTATTCAGGCATGACTGCTCTCTTTTTTAGTGCTTCTCTTACTGGTTCAGAGTCTAACACACATTAACAGTCTGTAATGGGTTCGATTGTCATAACTGCCCGATCCTTCCTTACTCAGGCTTGTTGCAGTCTCTGGCGGTACTCCGGGTTCCTCCACCACAGGACCTGGAGCAAACACTGTAGGGCCCCCAGGGACCCCACTCCCCATGGACTGGCTTCAGGTCCAACTCCTTGTTTACACACATCCCGTGTCTGCAGTACTGCAACAGACACACAAGAAATGACTGCAACTGCTACAGATCTGAAGACAAACACAGACTGCAGAATTAATGCAGGCACAGCTGGGAGTGGTGTTCATCTGTTCCTTCTTAATCCTCTGTTTAGATCGCAAGCTATATTTTTGAAAGAAATCCTAATTCCACTATTGTTTACCCTCAAGGAAGGCGTCCAACTCCTCCAGCTGTCCAAAGAGAAACGGGAGAGGGAAGGAGCGGTGTAGGGATACAGACAAAAATAGAGATGGTGGAAGACAACGAAAGACAGGAAGTGCCAATGGGAGAAACCACTAACTGAAATGTACAGTATGTGGTAGAATACTTCTTTCATGCCAACCAAATCTATCATTTATTTGGGGGTGTTCTTTTCTTCTAAAAAGTGATATGATGATATTATTGGCATGAAGGCACACTATTTTCCACATGGGCTCTCTGTTTTTCAAGCCTGAAGTCATTGAAATTGAAATGGCAACAAAAACCTTCTAAGACACTTGAATGAAAAGCATTTGCTCTGCGATTTTTTTTAGGCTTGAGTTGTAAATACAGAATTACATAATATCTTTCATCCAGTAGAGTAGACCCACTTTGACATAGAAAATAAGGCGCCCGGTATCAAACAGTGTGTACCCACTAACCAACCTTTGCCAAGAAGGGCTAACACTGCTTTCATAAAGCAAAGCACGGCAGGCCCATTTCCCTTTGTGTGCAACCAAATCCCCTTCTCAGCGGCTAAGATATCGGAGGGTTCTGTTCACTGAAAGAATGCAGGACAAGACGCCGTCTGTCTGGGTACATAGCCAGCCGTCCGGGGCACACAGGCACGGGGAGCAGTGGCACCATGATAAGGAAACTCTAGAGTTGTGATAACAAGAGGAACAAAGTTTATTACTGGCTTGAAATCAGGAACTCCCTTCTGCTGTTGGGCTGTCTATCTCCTCAGATACAAAGCTTTTAAACCTATAACCTGGAAAGGAGGATGCTCTTTGGGGACACCTCATTCTCACTGTGTTTCCTCACAGAGTTTAGTCTGTGAGGTTCATGCACAAGTTGTTACTTCAATTGCCAGTTCTTTCCAGATGACAAATGCAACTACTATCATTTCAACTGGCCACACGCCCATTCCACTACAAGATATTCAATCCCCTTCTCTAGATAAAAAAAGACTCTGAGAACAGAACCGTGTGAGATCCGCTTCAGTGGATTTTCATAACTACGGTAATAAACCAGGGAGGATATCAATCAAAGTCATCTGCTGGACAATGGCTAATCTGACCAGTTTCCGCTTCAACCTAAATTCACAACTTAAAGCCATTACCTTACATGAACACCTGCAAAATCACAAAGTCATGCACACAAACACATGTAAACATACAGAGAATTTGGCACCGCTGCCTCTACTATCCTGGCCTAGTTTGCAAGTGTGCTTGACACACTAGCAGGTCTAATGTAACGTCTGTGCACAATGGCATACAGGTGTTAACAGCTGCAGGGTATGGTCTAAACCGTAGTTGTTTCCTGTGAAGATGGAAGTTTATTTTGAAAAGACAGTATGCATGTAACAAGCGAAAACAGACTCATGTTGCTGGACTTTTGCAGGACAAATGCACGAAAAGTGAGGAGTAATATTTCGTAAGATATCAATAAAACGGGGATGAATTTATATCATTGTATAGAGAGAGTGACATGAGAAGATCAATCTCATGTCTGTAAGTTAAATCAGCTATAATCACTATTTTAAAGTGATTAGTGACTCGTCTAAAACATTTAAAAAAGGAATAACTTCAATAGAATCATTCTATACACTGTAACTTCTTTACATTCTATTAGAATGTAAAGAAGCTACATTCTAATACAATGTAACTTATTTACATTCTAATATAATGTAAATAAGACAGTGTTGCCTTTTCTTTTCTTTTCTTCCCACAAGAACGTAATTTTGTCAGGTTGATAAAAAAATGTCACTTTACTTCCTGACATTATTGTTACTTTAAACAAACCACAAACAGTTCCATGATGCAGACCTAATTTGAGATTCTTCCTGACTTGTTCCACTGTAAATGCAAAATGAGGGCGCTGATACTTTGGTTGGAGCACAAACAATGGATTTAAAAAAAAAAAAAAATCTAATAAAAGTGACTTAAAGCAATGTGATAAAACATCCACATGAGTGGAAATGCCTTCCACACCACAATGAGGCGAACAGGTGCCGGTCCTTGTTGGTTGAGCAACCTCCTCGAGACAAAAGAGCTAACCAATCAGAGTTCTTGGAATTGCCAAAGAAAGACTTTCAAAGATTTTTCCTAAAATGTATATCAACAGTTTTCCTTTGACCCAACACATATATCCTCTCCCCTTATAGCTCTCACATCCCCTTCCCCCACCTCAGCTTAAGGACTGTCAACCGGGACCTGGGCATCCCTTCTATACCTCAGCCACCCATCCCCCTTATCCCCTTATGGGAAACTTCAAGGGCCACGCAGGGACCACCACAGTGCCACCAGGCGGCAGAACCCGAGGAACTGTCAAACACAAGGCGGACTGTCTGTCAGAGAGGACCAAAGCCTGTGTAAGCCGCTGAGGCATTCCACTCCCCCCGCTGGCACCCTGTGTTTACAACCGTTTTGTTTGGCTTGAAAAGGTGATGTGGGTGAAAAGAAGAAAGAAGGAAAGGGGGAGTGGAATGAAAAAAAACATCTGTGTGAGATGATGTATGTGTGCGAACGTGAGCATGTGCATGACTGTGTGTGTGTGTGTGTACCTGTGAATGTGCATTCAGCGTGAGAGTGATTGCTCAGAGTCTGGAGGCATCTGGGGGCCACGCTCAATTCCAATTAGCCTCTCTTTCCAAAGTGCACAAACACACACTTGGAAAACGCTGAGGTGAAAGGCAAAGCTCAAACAAGCATTAAGGACACCGGCAGACTCTCTCCTAGAAAGAACAAAATTTGCCCCTCAATTGGGAATGTGGTGAGACATTTGAAGGTCTTGTGAGAGAAACCTGTCCAGCTGTGACTAGCAAGTGTTTCAAATTAGGAATTTCACAAAGACTCCCAGCAACAAGACATGTGCATATCTGCAAACACATACATAACGTGCATGCATTCTTTCACATACTGTTTATAGGTAAACATATAATGCACACAGGGAAACTCACACTATACATTTGCCACTTTGCTCTCAAATCACACACCAACACACAAAATAAAGCTCAACCACCTTGCCGTAGAGCCACAGAGAGTAGTCACCAGGATACGAACCCCAACAGTGGGAATAGTATCTAAAGACAGCAGCATCTGCTCTGAGCTCCTCAGCTGGCTGGTTTGGAAGTTAGTGCCCTGTAATTGCCAGGAAACTGTTGCAGAGAGCACCTCATTTCTGAGCACAAGCCATACATCACTGTAAGAATGAGAAGGCAGAGGACTGATTTAAAAAGCCCTCCGCTCTTTCATTTTAACACGGCCATTTCCGAAAGGCTTCACCTTTCATGTTGCGGTGTCTTTCTCATGGCTCTGGTTTGGGAGTTTACTTTGGCCTTGGTCTGTTTTGGGGGGTGTTGGGTTGTGTCTGTGTCTTTGATGAGTCCACTCCACAATGCTTAATTAACCTTTTCACCTGTGGCGAAACATGGACCACTGCCGTTGAATTTCAATAAGTCATGACGCACTCACAAATCGAACAACTTGACCTGGAGGTAAGAGGCAATAGAGAGCCATTAAGATATTCAGTAGTAAAGGATTCTTTGTGTTGCTCATAATAAGTCAAATTACATCTGTTATTACAGACTGGATTTACACAGACAGTTTTCCTCGTTAGTTCCATATTTCCTTTCCGTTGTGTTAAAAGGGTGAGAAGACAGGAGGAAGAGAGATGACAAGAGGGAGGGGATGGTGAGCTAGAGAGAGCAAGAGAGAGGACATGATGCAACCGTGAACCCAACCAACCTCTCTTCTCACTAATTTGCTTCCTGTCCTCTTTTCTACTCTCCCCCCATCCCCCCATCCCATTCACGTGCACTATCAACAGCTCTGTACAACTGTTGAGACACACATACCTCTTGTAGTCTACTAGAACTTGCCTTAATCAATATTATTTTTTTATTAACAGTGGTCAAAATCCTTACCTATAATGTGAAAGGTGTCCTTTCTAGTGATAAATCCACGGAGAGCTGTCATCCAGCTATGTTGCTCTGCAGAGATTTTTAAACTTATATTATTTTTTGGGCCACTTGGGGGGCAGCAAAATAAGCTGTAAACACAACATTGCCCAATGGTCATCATATAAAGTAGATATCGCAAACGTGTTCATAAATATGACGATGTCGTGAAAGGCAATTGTTTGCTAACACGTCAGCCATAATTGGAAAGATGTCAGATATTGTGTGTGTTTTTAATTTTGTAATTATTTACACCTTCTGCCAATATGCAATGAATACATCACAATTGCATACAATACAATACATTTTGACAACACACTATAATTGTGTAAATACATCTTCCTCCTTCAACACGGCCAGCAATGAAAGCTCCACTCACTGGCTACTGGACACAGTAATTCCAGAGCAACAATCCTCTTGTTAGCCCAAATCCACAGAAATGTCCGTGATGATGGCAAATCAAAGTGGCAACGTCCTGCAAATATCCAGAGATTAGCAGAGAGCGACACTGATTCCAGTCTCACAATCCCAAACTCCAGCACAGACACACACACACACACTGTTACACACAAACACCCCGTCCCCGCATCATACGACAAGTCTGTCAGGCTGCCAGGAAGTTCCAGCCAACACTCACCGCCTCCGCCAACAAACTCCATTCTGCCCTGGCTTCACTTTTCAAGACCTCACTATCTCACTCTAATTGGCTGAAACCAGAGCAGGTCGTCATTCTTTTCAGAGGAATGCTCTGGAAATCAAAAGCAACTTCCCATTTGTTCACTTACACTAACCACTCAATTAAGCCCCCTATTAAGAGAATCTGGGAAGCCTTTGGGGTTTTACACGTAAAGAAAAGCTCAGCGATTGAAAGAAATCTAAAACACTTGAGTATTTTGTAAGTCATTTTTCAACAAATTCCCCAAAAGTTGGCAGGGGAGCTTTCAGTCAAGGCCGCATTCAAACTGACAATAAAATGGACACACGTGACAACAATAAGAACTTTGGCAACAAAACACCACAGTTTATTCAAGCTCTGCTGGTGCTTTTTTCCCTGCGCCACCCACTGAGCAGTGACGTGGTGAGAGGCAGCGCAGGGATCTTCAAATGGTGGGGATGTGGATACAGCGCTAAGCGGTCCCCGGCTTTGGCTTGACAGGCACTTATTGACCATGCTGGTTGGCCCCTAATCTACACACACACAAAAGCACACACTGACACAACTGTGCATGTGCTTACACTTATATTAAATGTAGATAATTCTGCAAAAATATAAATGGAACACACATACACACACACACACACACACACACACAAAAGTACTACATGCATGTATGCACACACACAATCAAAACAGACACAGACACACACAGATGCAGGATCCTTTTGAAGAGTGAGAGGGACCGAAAAGGGGAGGGGGAGTAAGGGAGAAAGAGCAGGAGAAGAGAGGATGAAGGGAGGGTGGTGGCGGTATTTATAGACAACAAGTGATGGGATGCCCTCGTTAGTGCACGGCCCACTGAGCCAGATGACAGACGCGCCGCCAAAGGTCATGTGACCGCATTACTCACTCCGCCGCCCTGTGAGAGGGCCCGTTGAGCAACAGAGAGGGAGCGGGGAAGAGAGAGAGAGAGCGGCAGAAGTAGAGAAGCAGAGAGAGTGAGAGGAGAAGGGAACAGAGGGGGAGAAAACTACCCGTGAATCCTGCAGTGCCCGTTGCCCTATTTCAGCTAAGCTGTATACAAACAAACTTTTTTTTCACTCTTCATTCAGAGGACGTGCCTCCCTCCCACTTTTTGGGCACCGACCTCGTTTACCCGATGCGGTCACAACTTTGTTTCGTAACCCAATTGAACAAAAACTCTCCGCTGACAACGCAGTCACAACAGGTGACAGCTATAGCCGTTCAGAAAACACACTTTTTACAAGAAATGACGTTTCCCGTGTAATCGCTAGAGTGACATGGCAGGCTCTGATCTAATGATAGGCTTCCAAAGAGCTCTTTAAAGAGGAGCTGTGGTTACTAAGACAATACCTGCTGCTAGTTTTCCTCATAGAGGCCATACATAGTTATAATCCTCCAGATCTGACACACACCCCCCCACACACACATACATTCCCCCTCAGGGCTCTGCAGACACCTCAGAGCCAGGAGCTCGACCCAAGACCCTGTAAAGCCTTAGACCTGAACCTCATGACTTCTTTGAAGAAGAAATGTGAAAGGAATCAGCAGAAGAGGCGTGATCGTTGCAGTGCATTGAAGTTGTCTAGGAAAAGAGAAGAAGAGACAAAGAAATGCAAGAATGCAAGAGAGGCACCAAGAGATACAAAGAAAGAACAATGCAACACTGACGCAAGAGAGTCAGGGACGATCCTGGGTCCATGGGTTTGTAGATTATCAGACTTTTGAGGCACATGAACATACTTGCACACACACAAACACACCATACCAAAATACCACATAAAAGAGCTCTTGTATGGGCAGCTGAGTGTCAGTACAGGGTCTCAATCTCTTTCAACTCATACTACTTCAAACAGCCCCCTGCATGAGGATGAGACTGGGCCCTCAGCACTACAAACAAAGGTGGGGCCTCCACTCAGAACACAAAGAAATGAAGGAAAACTGTTTGTGGATTTAGAAACATACGAAAAAGAAAAAATATATATATCACTAACACAAAAGGATCTCATATAATTTTTGTTGATTAATAGGGCTCTAGGGACATTCGTGTCTGTTTATTGGTTGGTCCACCATTCTGGTTCTGATCTCAACAACTATTAGAGGACAGGAAAGTCTGTACAGTCATTTGCAGTGCTTAGTCCTTATTCCTCATGGCTTTGATGATCCCTTATCTTTCCTCTAACGCCAATATGAGACTAGCATTGTTGGATTTTTAGTCAAATGTTTTGAGAAATATTGGTTACAATTTGGTACGATCGTCTTCCCCAGAGGATGATCCTTTAACTTTTTAAATTTGATTTGGGGATCAACAACGTTTAGATGGTTAGGATAACATGCATCTAAATGTAGTTATCAAGTAAGCAAGTAAGTGTTGTTGCAGCCTTTACTTTACTATATATTTGTGTTAAGTAGGTCCATATTACAAATAGTAATATGTAACTTAATAATACTTCGACTTTTTTTTTACTGGTTTTAACTTTGAACGTCTAGGCCTCTTTGATCAAATTAATGTTTACAGGGTTTCAAAGAAGACAAGACATCTATTGCAATCTAGCTAAGTCAGCTTAAATTGAGTTAAGGGTTTGCAGCTTATTAAAGCAAAGCACTTGGTGTGATTAAACCAACACCATGTCTCCTCAAGTGTTTCTCCCACATACGGGCTGAGAACAGTGTCGGAGCTGCAATCCCAGGGCCATTACGTTTTAGTCTGGTTGTTGTAGTTGGATTAAGATGTTAGCTATCCCCCGTTAACCTCTTCTCACTAGACAGGGCTGATCCAGGACCTAACATGGTGAGGAGAGAGATGGAACCAGATGAAAGGATATAAGGGATATAAGACTTGCATCGGCCCACATTGCAAAAGACTCCTGGAGGGCAGAAGGTTAAGGAGAGTAGAGAACCCTCCTTCTCTTCTTCCTTCCCTCACGCATGTTCCGAATGCTAAACACCAGCCCACCAAATTCTCATCCCCCTGTACGTCGTCCTCACTCTCCTCCTCCCTCCTCCCTCCTCCTCTCCCGCCTCCTGCACTGCAGAATCACTGATGTGAGGTCTTTTGTGAGAGCGCTGGCTGGCCTCAGCCTGGGCTCTGTTACGGCCTGACCACTGACCCACTCACCCGCCTTTTTAAGAGGTTTTAGGGTCATGGGTTCACAACAAGGTGACTCAACTGTGAACGGCGGGTGGCATCCTCTTTCAAAGGGCCCACGTCTTCACCTTTCCCTCTTAAGACTCTCCCTCTTTTTCGCCGCCCTCTCTCTCTTTTTCCTTTCCTTTTTCTCTCTTTCTCTTTCTGCCCCCCCCCCCCTCCCCTGCAGCCCTTCTTTCCATGTATCCTCAGTGACTAACCCGCCGTCTCAGCTCTAATTAGCATAGCATCCCAGAGCGAGGAGAACATGAAGGCTAATGGGGGTTGGGGCCCCGTAACAACACGGAGGGAAAAGCTTCAAGTTTCTAACTAGGGCCATCACCTGACCACATTTACATGGGTTTCTGCAACCAGAATGCAGGCAGGAAAGTAATGCATGATAAATTATTCCTTTTTCGTGGTAGAGGAAGTGAACTAGAGGGTAAAAGCATCAGAATTCCAAGCAGCCCTGCATGGGAGGCTTGACTTATGGCTCTAATGCATTTTGGCTCTCATGCAATCAGGCGGAGGAACACAGACAGATGAAGTACATTCAGTGTTGCAATATGGGGATCCCAAACCAATATTTACATCTGATCCATATTTTGTGTTTAAAGCAAAAAAGCAAAAAAACAAAAAAAATCTGGTTTCACGGTAGCTGCAAACAAATTACTCTGTTTCAAATACTAGATGGGTGGGCTTTACTGCATCAGAATAATTTAGTGTGTCAATCAAATGGCAGACTACCCAATAAAACTAAGAGGTGGACAAAACATTTAGGTGTGAGTTAAGGAGACATTAGAGTTAAAGGAATTTTGTTGTGCAGAATTTTCCAACATCTTGGCTGTGCAGCTGTACTGAGGCCTACACTCCCAAACCGACAGGCCTTGAACATTAACTGTAGCACCACAAGTGTCATAAAACGTGTTCATAGAGGAAATCAAACGCCTATGATCTGTTCATTAAGCAACACAGATCCACATGTGGACCGACTTACCATTCCATTGCCACAGTCAGTCCCATCAGCCAGTGGCATGTGCTGTGTGCGACATCCTTTATGGTCCCCCTCTGCGCTGGTACACCATAGCCTCTTGCACTGTTTCTGTGGGGGCAAAACAATTAGCACCAGCATTATTTGTTTTTGCCTGAATAGTAAAAGAACTTGTCTATAATGTGAGAACATAGGCTTTTGGGAGGAAGATTGTGTGATTGCAGATCGAAATAGGGTTGTTGGTTTTCTTCAAACAGTATTTCAGTCAGTAGCCAGGAATTCACATTTTCTTTTGTGCTTCATTGCTTTCCAGACATGTGCTAGATGCATTTTAAATGGCCCAGTATCAGGTTTTAATTAGTGGCTGGGCATTCAACAATAGGCAGTTTATCTGCCTCTTTGAACGTGAGAAAATGCATGCCATACATTCCGCATGGCAATTTACAGATTATATTTATTCTACTGTATATTACAATTAAGAAATATAGAACCTAACTGCAATTAACTGACTACAGCTTCATATCTGTTGGCCTTTATGGATAACTGCTCCGATCACATGTCTGAGGGTTCTGCTGTATATCTTAGTAGACGACAACTATCTTAGATCTACTTCCACCTGAAGTCTTGATCCTTCACTTTTTAAGTGTGGTTTTCCTTGCTTTGATAGCAAGCCAACTTACCATGTAAGGGCAGATTTGGGAACCGGGTCCAAACATCAGTTCACACTGTCTGTTTGCATTGTAGATTTGACCAGGGAGGAGGGTGGGCAGCTCGTACATCCTGCCTGTAGGCTCATCAAGGAGGCACTCCCCATAGCCGGTGCTGAAACACAAAAGTATGAATTGTGTGTACAGTAAAGGAAAAGGAAAGCATGCAATCACACAAGTGTGTTCACAGACAGACAATCGCACACATGTACACACACACAAGCACAAGGCAAACTTTCATGGTAACATTTTCAGGATACTTCAGTATTTTCTGACCCCAAAATGTATCAACACGTGTCCTCTCTTTCATACGAGCAAAGTAAATATTTCCATGTCTTTGTCGGTGTTCATCCTCAGATGTGTTTTCCCCTGTGGGTGGTCTGTAAAGTTACCCAACAGAGAGACTGATATCACTTCCCCTCAATGGCCTGTTAGTAAATGCTGTCACTATGAAACTGTAGTCAGGCGCCACAGACTGAATCAAACTGTATTTTGATACAGACTGAAAAGGTTCTGCACACTGACTGCATTTTTATCCGAGGTGTATTTATCTGCGCTGAAGAAGGAAAAAAACGAGAATCTGGAATCCTAAAGCCCCTGATTAAGTTCGAGAAATCTGTGCCAGCGCCAGCATTGCAGCATAATGACAGACTGCGCTGTGCCACGCCCTGAGCCACGACACAGTAACAGAGATAACAAAAGCACAGCTGGACTGAATGTATGCAACAACGTCCTGCATATAAAATCATCAGCCTTCACGGTCATGAAAAGGCACAAGTCAAACATGTTAGCAGAGCGAGCCCAGGCTCAAAAGATCTCTTGTTTACTTTTGAGAAAGGAAACTGGCTGATGAGACATGTATAGATGTGTAATTACACAACATGTCTGCACCGCTCTGACAAATTTAATCCGGGATCGAGCTTCTAAAACACCTGCTCCATACAACGCCAGCTGACATGACAGTCCAATAATTACACAGGATTATCCTGAGTTACAGTCACTTGTTTCTTTCCCCTTTTATTTCCAGTCTATAATGTCAGAAACTGCAGCAAACAGCGCTGGGTGTCAGGGGAATGATTGCATGAGAAGAATAATACTACAGTGGAGGATACTGTGAATGAAAACTATAGAGCAGCCTGTCAAGGACTCACACAGACATTCCCATATTACAGGATCTTTCAGCAGTTGGTCATCTGTCTAATCAGTGTCCTGGAACCTAATGGAATGATTATTAAGACCAAGACAGACAGACTCACAGAAGGAGAAGGGGTCAGTGTGGTCATTTTTTAAATGAAACGTCTACCTTAAAAAAAAAAAAAAAAGAATATTGGCCGTGTGGATTTGAGACAGCGAGGCAATTCCTCTCTGGCACCAGAGGAGATTCCACACCGGGCAGCCATTGGGGAAACTTCAAAAGTGAGTTTATTTATAAGATGACTTATAGTTGGCTGTTGTGTGCTTGTCGTAAGAGACTAAACAATAATAGTTTCCATGCACACCATACCGGGTTTCCCTCCGTAAACAGTGCAAGAAGCCTGCTCATATGTCAGATTGATTTTTATTTTTTGCAGAGGAAATGACACAGAGCATCACTGTACAGTGTTTGATCAAACAGCGCCAAGTAAAATGCAGCAATGCTGTCATCTTAGAGCTTTGTCTCAGACAGCGTGTACCGATTATAGTACAGGGAGATATAGGACGAGATAATGACAGAGGTTTAAGTTGAATTTAGAGCAACATACCGAAAATAAAGATCCATCTTGATTTTATTAAGGCGAGACACTATAGGCAAAAATATTGTTTCATCATGCACTTGTCCATTTGTCGTATTTTGTTTGGTCGTTCTCTCAGACTATTGGAAATAAAACATCCTAAATCTGTAGATTTATCCTAAATTCACCAAAGGTTACCGTTAGATAATGCCTCGTTTGCATACTTAAATATAACAATTTAGAAAACTTGTAATACAAAAAAAAATGATGTCTTAATGTGAGTAATCAACTGGGGAAGTTTCAGGGAGATATCTTCTAGATACATTAATTACTGTGGAGGTTTCATGGCAATATCTATTAGTTAATTTCTTTTACCGTAGTCACCTGTAATGTGTTGCCTGAACATAATGACAGATTAAGTATTTAAAAGTGACTTCAAAAGGAAGAGTTGCTGGAGCAGTTAGGCTAATTCTTGAGGTGTGTAATGGAGAATGATGGGGCTTGCCCACTACTACTGATTATGTGGTTTCAACACCCAGCCAACACAACAATTAGTGGGTGGCAACAGCCAAAGATTTGCATTTTAGTTTTATATTTGGATTTTGAGGCTTAAATCAAAAGGCTCTGCGACATCGTGGGAATGAATGGTTGCTTTATGCAGCAGTTGACGCATAATAACGCTGCACAACAGCAGGATGCTTTTCATCAGTGCTGAGGTGCGGCAGTTCAGTGCACATTATTACAGCAACAGTGGGATATAGGGGGAGAAGGAGGGGAATCCTTCTGAACAGGGATGCTTGAGAGGTGGCGCGGCCTTTCAGTTTTTTAAATGGTAGGAGAGTGGTGCAGATTGAATTTGCTCTTCAGGGAGAATGGGCAGTCAAAACACTGATGTACTTGACCAGGGCAGCCCACTGAGCAGGAGCAGTACTGTAGAGGTAGTACTTTGAATCAATGCTCCTCATTGTCGGCTGGGGACGGATTTCAAAAGCTCTTGGACGACGCTCTCATGGGCTTTTCCCACCGCTGCGGCTCCCACACTGACATGCTCTCTTCATACCTCCATTGTTTGTTATATATCTCATATGGTGAACAAATGCTGAAGTTTATCACAAATGCATTTCATATTTACACCACACTCCTGGTTTCGCGCAGTAATGCGCCACACAAACACAAAAAAAAAACACAGCTGTCATGGACCGGACCAAATAATGAAGAGATTCCTCTTAACTCAATGTTCCGACCACTCGATGTTGAGGTCATCGCTGGCTGGAAACTATGTGAAACGCAACCTTAAAACTCCATACGAGGCGTTGCCTAACACCGCGCTCTCGAGATGCATCTGGTCAACAAGGCCGTCCTTTGTGAAGGCCTCCACAATTAACAGAGGAAAGAAGGCAAAGATTGAAGGGTCATGTCCTGGGAAGATATAATTATAACTGACATTTCCCATCTTAAAGGGAAGCCTTTCACCGGGATCAGCGACCACAGTGCAGGTTAGGAATTGCTGAATGAGCCGTTGCCCCGTGTTACGGGTTTTGGTGCGGAAAGCAGGCTAGTGACTAGATTACTGTTTGCCCAGCATCTTGAAAACACGGCTCTGTCTGAGTGGGGAGACAGCTGAGGGGCTGCGAGAGATCCATCGCTCGGGTCAGCCGAGGAAGATCCCCGGATTCAAACAGGAAATACTCTTTCAACACCAGGCAATAACAAGTCCACACAGTTTACATTGCACTGACCTGTCTACAGAGCACTGCGAGAGACGTTGCAGCGGTTTGTTTTGGCGCCACGTCACAACAAGTAAAAGTTAATATGGCAAACTAAAAACGCGGATGTGATAATATGAGATTGGAGGAGAAAACATTAAAATTTTGTTTTGGTGATGAATCAGGTTCAAAGTGAGGAGAGCTGGTACCTACTCTAGAAACTCTGTGATGTACTTGCGGCTGCACTTGGACCACGACCAGGGATTGGTGTCATATTTGAGGATGGGAGCCATAACATGATACTGGTGCTTCATGCCTGCATCTCGACACTTTGGGTTGTCATCATGAGGCATGTTGAACCTGGTGCAGAGAGGAAACAGAGAGGGGGGGGGTTAGCGATGGAGAGAGGGATATAGGGAACACACAGAAAGTTATTATCAGCTGCTTAATGGCTCAGCCCTAACGAGGAGGATAAATGTCACAGGATTTACATTCAGTCCTGTTGGGCCGCCACACACACAGATGTGTGACAAATCACCACACACACCACGCAGCTTACCCTCTATCGTTTTACATATTTTTGTGCTATCTCCAAAATATTCATTCAGTAAAAATCTCAGAAAGGCTTCTATAAAACTCCTACTGGCCAGTTGGTGGTGCAACCTTTTATGTGAACATCATTCTTTATCCATCAGCATCTATCCGCTCCACCTCAGCTCACTCCTGAGAGGTCAAAGGTCACCATCTCACATTCTCAAAGAGCTTACCTCTTTTAAGCCACCCCTCTTCAGTGACCCATTTTTGTCATTTTTTTAGGGGGGATAGGGGATCTTTAGGTTGAGATGCAGCTCAGTACTGTTTTTCTAGTTATACATCTGTAATAAAACGTGCTTTGTTTGTGCTCCTATTCTAATGTTGAAAGTTTAAAGAGCAAAAGGGGGTTAGAAAATGATGATGGAAGTATATGATGGCCATTCCCCATCCCCTAATATGGGCAGAAACACCATGCATCAACACACACGTATACGTTGCTCGAAGGTAAACATGTATGAGTATGAACAATGACAATTCCTCACATTTGAGAAGCTTGAACCAGCAAATGTTTGGTATGTTTGCTTAATAAATTACTTTAAAGCTTAAAATCTTGTCAAAGTAATTGATTTTCTGTTGATCCACTAATCAGTTAATCAGCTGATTGTTTCAGCGTTGTAAACAATGAATCAAGAGTCTTCACAGAAGAACAGCTGTATAAATTGAAGTACACAGCATGGCATCTGCAGATGAATGAATTAAGCCGCGCTGAATGGAGTTGGCAGTCTCATAAAGCAAGTTGATCATGTCCAGAATAGCGTGGTCCAACGCAGATGTCCTGTTTTGTGCTGCGGTTTGGCCGATTACCATAAGTACATGTAGTGCATGCACATCTCTATGTACACACACAGGAACCCATGCAGCTGTATGATGTCTGAGATGTTTACAACAGGATGTGGGCCAGTCCTGGGCTCTGGACTGTGGCTGAGGGTCAATCCATACCGCCACACAAACAAGACCTAGCAATGCTGGCATGAGGCCCACCCTACAGGGGCCGAGGGCCTGAAGGCAAACACCCAGGGAATAAATAAGCCTCTGGCACAGTAATGAGCTCTGCACATACAAACCAAGCTGCTGGCTGATGCTGACAACATCAAATCAGGCTCAAATGATATTTGCACTGTTAACTACTAACTATTCTTCGTCACTTATGATGGTGCACAGGTGCATCAGGGTGATGGAGCAAGTTTAAAATGAAAACAAACAGCGCGATACTTTGCCATGTAGACTTTCTTATTATCGTGAAAGGGATTTGTGACAAGCGCCAAACAACTTGTACTCTTTTAACACATTATGACGATTAAGTTGATAAGGACTTGAAATCCTGAGCCTTTTAGAGTAATTAGGTCGTAAATCAGGATATTTTGTGGCTCCGTGTTTGGCAACCTCAAGGGACAGATCAATAGAGGAGTCAATTCCAGTGGGAGGGAACCAACCCCAGCATTATAGATTATAAGCATCCGGACTAAAGTGTGATTAGTTAGGGTTCACTCACTTATAGTGAGAGCTCTCAACAAAACAAGCTGCTTTGTTTTCTGTACATCCCATCCTTCATGCCGCGCTGTCATGCAACTAGACTTTTTGGAAGACAAAGACATATAACTGTGCTGAAATGCCCGTAAATAACGGCGAGAGTAAGACACTGCTGCAGCGATGACGAGCTGAATTCCTGCAGATTGGGTGTGCATGAGTACGAGTTGGAGCAAACAGCACAGTCTGCAGGAACAGCAATTATCAGCACTTCAACAGAGACAGAGCTCACCGACACCAGTGGGGGAAATGGACTGATACCTTGTCAGTGGATTACACGTTGCAGCTCCTCCAAGTGTAGTGCTCCGCAAAACAAACCATCTTTGACAATCTCAGTAATCTCATCCACTCGGTTATGTGTGATCGGGATAATGACGGGAGAGTTTTGTGGTGTGGCTTTTCGTATTTTTTAAGATGTTGTAGAAGAAAGCCTGTGGACATCTAATGTGATATCAAAATGTCAGGAAGATTTATTGGTGATCTGAGACATTTAGAGCACTTGGCACCGTCTAATGACAAACTTGATTATATGTGTCACCTTTGAACGGCTATCAAATGACACCGCCTCGCCTGAAAATCCCCATGATGGCCATTAGCAATCACACATCCTTGCAGTCATCTGAGAAAGGCCTCCTATCCATTAGTCTAAATCTATCTGCAATGCTCTTGAGAGGCTCCCACTACCTGACACTGGCTTTCCCAGAGCGCTAAACACTGTGGACATCTCACGCCTGTAAACGCAGGGATCAACCACGCCAAGAGGCAGAGCCAACTGGGCCTCCAGCTGCTTGAACTTTAGCATAAACAGATCCACACGAGATATACAAGGGGGAAGAGCGTAAGGGGGGTGCCTGCTCGGGTCCGATCGCTCCACTGGAAGAATGTGTGAGCGAGGACAGAGGAGGAGGAAGAAGAATATCTGCCATTCTTCACCAATGGCTCACACGACACTGGTCCTCTTTTAGTAGCCTACACAGGCAGACCGGAAAGAAAATCCCTCACTCACTTTCACTTTTATACTTAGCAAGGGAGGTGGGCAGGATGAAAGAGCAGGGAAAGAAAAAAAGGACTGACAATTCATCTTTTTCTTGAAGATATGCCCTCGCTGAGATGGGAAAAAAGATGCTGCCAGTGCGTTACAATTCACATCTAAGGCTAGTGCTTCTCAAATCGCATCACTTTTTAATCAACTAAACTGGATTACAAGATAGAGTAATATACAATTATACAATTTTTTTACACTTCACACAAGTAGCATTATTAGCTTGTTGTAAAAACACTCTCTGGCAGACAGGCGTGTTCGGAAAACACACTGTTATTCACTAGCACACAAGATATATATGACGGGCGGCACTGTGACATCTTCGGGTTGTTTTATCAGTGTTTGCGGCTGCTACGAGGAAACAAGCGAGCTCCCGAATACTAAACAGAATATTTAGCCTTGCCCTGACTGATAAAGTTCTGGGATCCACTTTCAATGATGTACTTACTGTATATAGAGAACAGAAAACCCACCACATATCCACACTGAATTTCATCTGAGCTGTCGTCCACTCGAGACAAAGCTCTGACACATTAAGGGTTAACTTCTTGAGCTGTATAGTAAGGTATTAAAGGCTGGCATGTTATTAAAAGTCAAGTTTTCACTTTATTATGTTTTGCACCTGTGACTGCTGCGCCCTATGTCTCTTGATAAGAGGGCTTTTGTTAGTCAAAGCTGGCTACGAGGGGCGAGTTAGTGTGTGTGTGTGTGTGTGTGTGTGTGTGTGTGTTGGGGTAGGGGTGGGGTGATTGCTACAAGTTCTGTGCTGCAACTTACACATGGCCCAGCTCATGAGCAATGGTGAAGGAGGCACTAATTCCATTTTCTTCACTGATGGAGCAGCTCCGGTATTGGTCGCACATGGTCCCCAGCTCTGCAAGCCCTACAGGGTCACGTAGATACACAGAAAAACACACCGATGAACACATACAGACACAACTATTCTAAAAAAACAAATCCTGCTGCTTGAGTGTCAAAGGCGATTAAACCATCAAAACTTCTGTTCCGTAAGAGAGATTAGCAACCGCCACCGCCACCGCCTCCTTCCATCCTCCCTCCCTCCTCCCGTTTCTACCACTCTGTTCTGTCACTATAATATTATTAGCTGACAGCTTGCCATAAACTCATTACTGCACAGTATATGAGCTGTGCTTTCCGGAGCGTATAGTTAATTGAAAAGGACTTGAGGTGGAGAAATATCTGTAAAATAGAAAAGCAAAAGTTTACCTAACGTGTCACATTTATCTTTTGCACGGCAGATGTCCTCCCTGAAAGAAATAAAAACACACAACGCCGTTAGCCATTTTTCAGTTTTCCCTTTCAAATTGTGAGGATGGGAGAAGTGGGTGTACCTGGTGATGAGGAGTGCTGTGTCATGGTGAGAGGGATGGCTGTCATCCGGGAAGTTTTGGCTCTGCTGCCAGACACAGAAGTTGTGGAGCGTCGTGGCAGCATTGAAGCTCACTGTGGGCCCTTCCTGTTTTGGGTGAAATACCATTGCGGATGTGACCAAAAAAACTGGTATACATATTGTAATGTAGCTGACATAAGTACGTCTTTAAAACTCATGTAATAGGGATATCCCACATTTTTCAACCTGTGTTATGATCATATTTCTCTCAATTGTGTGTACTGATCATGATAACGTTTTACTTACTTCATCAGGTAACATGGGCAAAAATCAGGAGCCCCCTACGGCTTTCCAAACAACTTCCGTTCCCTTTAATTTAACTATTTAAGAATCAGTTACAGTGACCCAACAAGCTACAGTGAGCCTCTCAAGCAACCTCTCATTCGCAGGTGGCTAGCTGCCTAACTATAGTATCGTTTGTCTTCCATGGAGACCTCTCTTGAGACTTGAAACTGACAAGGCAGGCAGTGTCCTTTCAAACAAGCCCCTCAGAGAAAAGGCCAGGCCAGGGACACCTGCACTGACGTCAGCCATATTGGAGAGCTTGATACAGGTAGCATTCAAGACCCCGCACTCACCTGTTCATTGTGGACCATGACTAGCTTGACAATCATGATGTTGATGAGGTTCCCTACGCTGGGGTCCTTGTACACTGCTGCTACCTGTAACAAAGACAAAACACACAGACAAAAAATGCAAACCTCCACTGACCTGAACCAGAGCACAGATAGGGACGGTATGATAGCTAGTCTACTTCTCTTCACTCAGTACGTGGATTGAGAAAATACAGCAATTGTTTTTTTTCTGGCTGAGCTCCATGAGGTTTAATCAAAATTGCAACCGTTAATTCAAGTCAAAAGAAACAAAAAATGTCTCCTTCAGGGTAAGTTTAATCAACAGGGTATTAAAACCAATTACAATTCCCCCACAGACCTTGGCAGAGAAAAAATAAACAAGTCTGGACCCAGCAACAAACGTGAAACCTCAGCAAAGCTGGAGCTCAGAGCCCCTCTGTGAGGACAGCAAAACATTCCCTCTGTAGTTTTTCCCCTCCGCTTCTCTTGCTTTTCTCGTGCACCCCTGTCACGGTCGGCCAGCAGTCTCCTGAGGCCACGTGCGGCCTCCTGACAGGAACTCATTAGGCCACTATAAACATTTAGCTTTTCTTAGCCTAGGGGGAGGCGAACGTGGTCTAAGCCTGTCCAGAGTGGGTGCTCAATGCTCAAAGTCAAGCTGTGACACAGGACGTTGTTCTGTATCCTCTCGCCCCAATGTATGTTATTGTATGATTAGTGCAAGAACCAGAAGGGAAGGGGACTGCAGCCTACATGGGAACATCACTACAGTATCTCACACAGCCAGTTATATATACGTATATACTGTATATACTATGTTATTTAGGCACTCAGTCTGCATGACCAAAACCTTAAAACCTCACTTAAATGGAACACAATGGATCTAACTTGGTTTTGCTCTCAGTAAGCTGTGGATAAGAAAATTGACTGAGAGATTTTGAAAGAAGAAAAGAAAAAAAGGTGTGTTTGTGTGTGTGTCCGCACCACTGGTCTGCAGACATGAGCATAGCAGAATTAATGTTTTGACTTCAAACCTGGCACTAAAAACTGGGCAGACACATTTAACACGGACTGTACCCTCACCAACTTACTTAACACACCACTGACAATCATTACTCCGTTATATGTCAATGAGTGTTTTGAACGGTCTGTCATACTAGAGCGAGACACACAGCGGAAGGTACACACAGGTCAGTGCAATTGATAACCTATCCTGCTTTGAAACTACTACTCTAATATATGCAGATACAGTCAATCACAGTGTTACTGACTTGATTACCATGCAGCTCTCCCAGTCATGGGGCTCATAAAGAGGTCAAGGTGCTGAGTCAGGATTTTACCAATTAACTGGGCCACTTTCGTTGAAGCCGCAGCATGCTAGGGTCACATCAGGGTTTACGAGCAAAATGTCAAACAGTAACATCTGAGGCTAGAAAAACACAGACCTGGACTGGGGCATTTAGTTTCATATTTTTTATTTTAAAAGAAAACACGTCTTGCGTCTGTTATGCCATTAAAATATTTTGGGTTTAATTTGCCCCAGGTTTTGAGGTGTCAGTTTCTGAGATTTCGGCCACCACCCTAATACAATGAAAGACTTTTGGTGCTCAAGGAATAAAAAATAAATAAAAAAATCACTGTTTTCACTGTTCGTAAAGGCCTATTTCCTGAGAGCGTAGGTCTACTGCAGACTGTTTACAATGGGATCTATTATCAAGAGCAACAGGATCGTTTTTTAAATGTTTCCAACTGTGTGAACCAAATTATTTTCCCCTCCATTGTATTTAGCCTCTGTTACGTTTCAAATTTTGTTTAAATTTTCTTGCCAGCAAATCTTTCAGATTGAGTTCAACTTTGGTACACTTTGAAACGTGAATTTATGGTGACAGGCTAGCATTAGCATGTTCCCAGGTGGCTGGTGTGTTAGCAGTTAGCTGGCCAGTTAACCAACTAGTCATTATGTCACCAAGCTTTAAGCATCACTTATTTCACGGTGCCACGTTCTGTTGTGATCAGGTCTTTAAGACTGGGGAGGTCTCAGAAAACCTGGACGGATAAAAAGCCTATCTGCATGCCTAAATACCAATGCAGGTAAATAAAATACATGTTTGTTTGTGTTTTGTAATTTGGGTAATCAATAGACCACTCAAAATTATGAACTGCATGCACATCCATTTGTGTAAGAATGACACAGTAGTGTGCATGTATACACCTACAACGATAACAAACTCATACCAATCATCTCATACATTAAAAAAATATTTTTTTGTTTTTACTTACTACTGACATGATTGTTAGGATGTAGTGCTCTAGGTTGCGTCCATGGTGGCGCACCATTTTTGCATCCGCCGTCACCATCAGCTCGACGTAGCGAGGGTAGGAGAGGAAGCGCTTGCGTCTGCGCGGGGCTTTAGGGTGTGTGCCGGTGGAGTTGTTGTCGTAAATGTGTTGATCATCTATGGTGGCTCTGAGAGAGTCCAGCTCCTCTCCCATACTCCATCGGCTCTCAAAAGCAACCGGCCTCTTAGAGTTCTCTGTTTCAAGAAAGAAAAATGCTGAGTGATGACGTGGAGAGGAACATATTCATTGGATTTAAAATAATGGTGATATAGGTGAACTGGACTATCAAAGAGTCAAATTCTTCCACACTGGACACCCGCTGCTTTATGTTATAAAGGCATTTCAGTAGAGAGCATGGTGCATCTACAGTTAAAAGCCGAGGGTTTTAGCTTAGCTGAATTCCAATGACATAACAGAAGCACGCTGGACTTCTATGGCAAAAAAACACCATCAATTTAATTATTGCAGTGCTCGGAAAACAGATGTACCAAGAGACACGGGGTCAGTGGTGAGCTTTAAGAATACGGGTTTTCAGGTCAGGCAATATGCCCGCCCTCTGCCTGAGTGTAAGCCTCACAAAAAAGAAAATCTCATGACGACATTTTACCGACTCACACAAGGACTAGCCGAACTATCCCACCTCTCTGAGCCTGGAAACATTATCATCTGAAAATGAAGTTAAATGTGGACAACCATGATCAAAGTTAACATCAAATGCAGTATATATACAATGTCAGATTGAAACAATTCCCTTCATAGGCTCGCGGTGAAGAACACTTTCAACACCAGCCTCATAAGAGGAAAAAAAAGAAAAGAAACGTCAGCGATGTACTGTGGTAATGGCGTTCTCTCAGCTGTGTTGAGCTGGCCATGAGCGATAGATTCCTTTACCATGACAGAGTGAAGTTGAAAGAGGGAGACAAGGCAGAGACACAGAACGCGTTAAGAGCAGGTTTCATTGAGACAAATCTGCAAGGGTTAAGGTGGAAGCCGATGTAATTACACATACACATATGTGTTTCCTAAGACTGTATCCTTTTGAAAGAGTTTGGAAGAGCCACAAGTAGAGCAGGGGAACAAGGAACAAGAGAGGGGATTTCTGGTCTCTGTGCAGGCAAGCTCCAAACTGATAAAAAATAAAACGAAGGTAATTTTGTTTGGGACAAATAGATGCAGCATGTTCTGTTACTGACCAGCAAATCCACCCATGCTGAACAAGTCAGTAAAAATCTCTTCAACAACATGAGTCAAGTTAATGACCAACACATCAAAAATCATCTGCATTTTCTGAACATCAAAATGTTTCAACCGCAATCAATAATTTATTAGCATTGGAAGGATTTCAATAGCAATTTTGGATTGTAACAGGCCATCTGAGGACTAAGTATTTGCACACAGGCTATTGTGCTGTCCAGATTTGCAGCAACGCATTGCCATATGTGATGCGGTGTGAAAAAAGACTGCTTGCAGCAGTTGCTGGGTAAGAAGGATTTAAGCAGCTACCCAACAGCGCGATGGATAAATGTAGCAGGAGTGAATAGTAAATCATGCAAAAAGACAGTCACGACAGCTGGAACGGCACAATCTAAGAGTTCTTTGACAAGTTCCTCCTATTCCTAAAATGCATTGCTGCAGTGTTTGCAAAAATGGGGGGCACATTTTTCACATCCATTATTATCCACATATTAAAACTTATATTAATGTGGCCCAAATGCACTCAACATGTCAACAGTCATAGCAGTGTTCTGCAGTGTTTTTTGTTGCTTTTTACAAAAACATGCATATTTATGGGAATGAACAATTTTGAGAAATGAATGAAACATAAAATGACATTTAGTCTCAGTAATTTTATGACTGCCAGTGTTTACGAGCCAAGCATAGTTTGGAGTCCGTCATCCTAAACAACCTCCTCAACTTGCGATAACCCGGTTATGGTGAAGAGTTCTATTGTCTTCTGTACACTCAATCTTTCCAGACAGTCACACAGAGAGAGATTGTGTACAACTGTTAGGTCTGAATGCTCCGAGATTATTCAAGTGATGCCCCCAGTGGGCACGCGAGGCGGAGCGTGACTCCCTGGCACAAAGGCACACAGCTCTTGCTGCCGTGAGGCCCAGCCCCACGCCAGTGCCAGCATCCAAGTCAGAGCCAAGACTCAGTCAGTGCACACAGCCCGGGCAGCTGGGCCAGGACAGAGCTTTGTATTTTCCAGGAAAAATCTCTCCGAGGCCAAACCCACTACACTAAACCCCTTAAACAGACTCATCACTGCAGACAGTCTGACATCAAAGGGATTATCAAAGCACAGAAGAGCATCTACATCAACAGAAATTGGTGTTAAATCTCAGAGCAAGCGAGTGTGAGATGAAAAAAGAGAGGAAGAAGAAGAGGAGGAGGAGGAAAAAATATGGTCCCTATTATCATAGCCTTTGAATCAGTGCAGATTAGCCACACACAACCTTTCCCAAATCGCCTTAGGTTCAAATCCCCCTCTCACTAGGTAGTGAGCTGCTACTTACACCATGAGAAGACAGGGGTGACTGCCCTGACCTGCCGGACACACAGAGACGTCACATCCTCCTCAGGGCATTGGGCATCAAATCAGCATCAACTACACATCTGCATCTCTGTATTTTACATGTTGGTAATTGATTACCAAACATCAAAATATGAGATCTTCAATTTATTTTTACACCAGCAAAAGTCTCCCAACCGCGAGCTTATAAAACCGAGCTCCAGCGGTTCTTCATAACAGAACAATAAAAGGAGCCGAGATGAGTGTAAGCATTTATAAATGTTGTAATCTAATAGGCTCCATATGCACATCGCTGAAAAAGACCAGCATCACACTCACTTTTCTGCTCCTACGCCTACTTGACTTGGAAACTTTCAAAGCTCTTTTTATGACTGTGCCAAAAGACAATCAAACACAATGCATATCATAAACAATGTTTATCTATTCACTCATTAATATGTTTAATTGCAACGCAGGTAACCCGCACATTAGGACTGAGCACTTTCATATATATTTCAAGACTCCAGCATGGTTTCAATTCTTACATATGTTTACACTTCTTTACTTTCATTCATAAACATTTCATTAAGTATGGAAGCATTTTGATGCTTGAATTTGCACTTTCTGTTTGAGCCCATTCATGTACATCCAGCCTGTCCTGAAGGATCTCATTGAGATTTCAATCTAGATCAAAGAGTTGCTCTTTGACTCTCCTTCAGCTCTCTGTCAAAAGTATCAATGCCAAGAACCCAACAATGGGGAACACACATTTCATTGTTGAACTAATTAACATTCTTTTACAATGGCCCGCTGGGAGTTAAAGCGCCCTTTTCCCAGGGTGCCAATTAAATGGACAGTATACCTTACATTGAGTATAGGTACTGCCCTGGTTCTATACAAGGTCATACACTCTGGTTACTCAAGGGGGGAAACATGTTGAAACTCCTGTAGACAGAGGCACAATTAAGTGCAATTCTGTGGCGAGACGGAGAGAAGCAAAGGCAGCTAATTGTTGTTGCTGAAGAAGGCTTTTAAAGTGAAGTGGCATGGCTTTTGACCTCATTGGGAGACGGTGGGCTGTGTACACCAACAGTGCTCTCAGAGTTCAGTTGTTATTTTCAGTTCAGAGACATGCTGAAGACAGCACGGTTGTGAGCTGAAGAATGTGTTTGGAGTAGCAGACCTCCTCTGAGGAGACAAAACACTACTTATGGATGTGGAATCCTAATGATGGGCAGGGGCCTGGAGTGTTTTCATTTGGCAGACTCAAACTGAGAGTTTCTGACTCTCGGATTTAACAGATTGTAGATTACATGACTGATGGATGGCTGAGAGACCAACATCCACCAACATCCAGCCTCCTCAAGGACTGCTGTTTTAATAATAGTGCATTTTTAAAAATGGGTCTGCATCAAACACAAAAAGCCATCGCAACAAACATACAAACAGGGCTGAAGTGTTCCCTTCTAGATGGGAGGTAAGTGAATGCAATTTTTTAAAAGGACACTAAATGTGAGTACTTGACTGCCGACGTGATTTTCAGCTATTTTAAAAACTGAGCTCCTCATTTCTAGTCAGTATTTATTGCAAAAGGAATCCGCTTTGGGATTTATGGTTTATGGTGTAAAGATATGGTGAGAGACTTTCGAAAACCACAGCACCATAAAACCAACAATTAACATAGCACCTGACTTTGGCGTCTAACGAGAACACAAAGAGGGGTACTTAAAGAATAATTATTTTCTTAAGTTTGGCCGTCATTCATGTCAGTAATAATAGCATTGCACTCATCGACTCCTGGGAACAGCATCGCTCAGTCAGACAAATTAACTTTGTAGTAGCGATGTCGCCGTGCTACCAGATCTCAGAAATTACGTAGGTGAGTATGTTATCAGAGAAGGGATGGACATAACTGTGAAAATAAACCCAGCAAACCAGAATCCATACAAGAAGAACTTACAAATGTTTTAAACAGTTTCAAAGAAAAGTATTTCCCCAAAAACTATTCAATACCCTGAAAGAAAAAGTTCTGCCTTGACAAAAACAAAGCATGTCTGCAGTTTTGAGTGCTTTCTGGCTTCACAGATGATAAACAGCAAGAGCCACAGGCGATGGCACTGATGTTTCACTGGCCAGCTCCAGGCACTGCCTCTCCCCAGTCCACCTCAGTGGGAAACTGTCACTCATCTGTCACCCCCTCTCACCTCTGAACGTCACCCATGCCACCATGCAGTCAGTCACTGTCACTCGAGTTGTTCTTGCCATCCCAATCAGCCCCCATCTGTTAAGAATGGCCAGACAGCAGACAGTGGCAGAAAATAGCCCCAGCTGGAATCTGTCACGGGAACTCACGAGACAACACAACGCATTGGGTTCAATGGGGTTGAGGCCTCAGGGCAGGCAGACACATGGCAGCTATTAAAGTTATAGACTGCCTGTAGTTGCCCAGCCTTGTCCAGAGTATGTTATCTTAAAATATGATGCCAATGAGTGCAATGGGCCATATTATTAGCTCCGTCATGATGCAGTCTCATGAAATTTGAGGCAACGACGGAACAAAGCATCATGCCTGATGAGAAAACTTGCACATTACTCAAAACTAACACACATGTTGGCTCAAGACTCCCAGTCAGTGTATGGGAGAACCCATTTTTCAACTCATTTAACAACTAGGACTAACATTATCAGCTTGGCGTTCCAAAACATACTTTATGTCCATTCAAAAGGACAATCAAAAGACAAAAGAAATTCAGATTTTTTCTTTTCTATGTAGGTCAAAAGAAAAACAGTGGGTGAGAAAGCTACTTCAGAGAAGCAGGTGTAGAAGAAGAAAAGCAGGCAGTGGGAGTTGAGGAAAATGCTGGGGCCTCTGCCAAGCTCTGCAGCAAAACCGGCAGACACATTTAGTGCCGGCCAGGAGTGCTCAAACACATGAAGAAAGAAGCTCCTTTCTCCATCCCGCTGGACTGATTTGCTCCCAATACTCAGCGGGACTCTTCGTCCACTGACACACATGCAAACCACATCTATGGATGCACACAATCGGGCAAAAACAAACTTTTTTTTCATGGCAACAATAGGTACTTCCTGGAATGGGGGAGGTTCAGTCTGTCCAGGGGGCATGGGGGCACAAAGCAAGCCTAAGCCTTTTGGAGCCATCTGACATGCAGAAGCTCACCACCATCTAAAGCCAGAACCCTGAAGTTGAAGAGAGGTTGTCCGAATGATCTGCACCCGTCCATCACTCCCTGACCGGGCCACCTTCCCTGACCCCTGTCAAGAGCCGGAGCTAAGAGGAAAACAAAGAGCTTAACGCATACATAGTTGCAAGTGAGGCCCAGCAAAGTCCAGTAACCACGCACCTCTAGGAGGGGAACAACTCAAGGTCACATCCACCCGTCCAGTGAGTGACTCCAAACAAAGAGGGAAGTGAGGTAACAATCAACAAGTGCTTCCATTCACATACATGAAAGCGCAAAGGGAGAGCGGGCAGCGATTCAAGTCGGCTAGTTCAAACCCCAGGCGGGGGAGGGCATTTTCCATGCAAATGAACCCATTGACCAAAAACCTGATGCTAGCATTTGAACTACCATGTATACACAGTGGGCACCAAGGGGGGAATCCTATACAATGATTGTGTTGAGGGTCAGAGAGGCACAGATGCCATGTGTGCCAAGTATTGCCGCATCAAAGCCAATCACGTAGCTGCCCTCAGTCAGCCATCAAGAAATCGGGTGAAGCGCTAGGGAGCCAAACACTGGAACATTGGTGTTTGGGTTTATGGCTGGCAGCATTTGCTGTCAAGCTGTCTGTATTCAATTCACTATCTCAAATTCAGACAAAATATGACACCCCACGAATTTAGACACGCAGCCAGCGACTGAGAGAAAGAGATACCTCCGTCTCATGCCTGTCTTCACATGGATTTTAAGAGAGCAAAGGGAAGAAACCGAGCAGGAAGAATCTGCCCCTATCTGTAGCAACCCTCATCCCCGTGGCTATCTATATCGAAGGACGACGCAAGGATTCACATGCAAGCTCAGAGACAGATACCCCGTAGAATGTGCCATTAAAGGTCGGAGCGGTGTTGTGATTTGAGCCCAGTAAGCTTCTTCCCCAGGGGCTTTTAAAAGCCAGAATCAGGCACAACAAGGCACTCTGTGACTTTAAAACATTAATCACCCACTTGACAGCTATCTACACTAGAGATATTCTAAACAGCGGGGAAGCCACCCAGGTTGGCTGACACAGACAGAAGACTGATACAGTTGCTAGAAATGTCAGTCAGTGAGATCAAACTAAATGCTCATGTTGTTCAGGTGCTTTGATTTACTCTCACATTTTACGTTTCTTCGGAAACGTTGCATTTAAATCATATATTAAACTCACATGCATTTAACTGCACATAAGAATAAATGAACACACACAGTGGGGAAAAGCAGCTGAAGACAGGTATATAGTCATAGTCATGACTGCTGAAATAACAAAACCCAATTTTCCTTCAAGGTAACACTTTAAAAGCTCTTACCATTGCACTTCTGTTGCTGACACTTCACAGGTAGTGACGGCACATGTACAAAAAAGTCAAGTATTTGTACTTGTCAGAGATGACAAGCGCAGAGTTAACAAAACAAAAGCTCCTCGTCTTTAAATTCATGTGGAAACATAGCCTTCCTCTCCTTTCAACGCGAGGTGTGAAGGGACTGTACAAACTCTGGAAAGTTGTACTGCCTCAATAGATACAGAAGTCCCATTTATTGTTCTGGCACCATCTGTAGAGCATTAAGACAGAAGTATGACACATCATGAGGGAAAAGCTTATCTCACCAGAAGTATCTGGTTGGTGATATACATTCTGTTTCCTGGAGGGCTGCTTGATAAAACACAGCTTGTTTCATCTTTGTCGTGTTCAAAAATATGTTTTTGTCTTTTGCATAGAGAAAGGCGGATAAAGAATAATGATCAACACAGTGACTAAATAGGCAAAACGATGTCTATATAGAGGGAAAACGCTGCCTGGCTTGCAGATTAGCAGGTATTGTTGGCCATTTAGCACTTCCATCTGTTTGGATCAACTGTGATAGTTAGCATGTTTCAGGAATAGAAGGCCCATAAAGCTTCAAACCTCTTCAAAGTCCCAAACCTGCCAAAACACCTTAGCACTCAAACTCCAAGCACCAATTTTCATTTAATGCAAGAGTCCTCTTCACAGGAACATAAAGTGGAGAAAGAAAGAGTGAAAGAGAAAAAGAGAGTAGGCCATAAGATGACTGACTCTGACAAAGAGTGCTTTTATAGCTCCTCAAAAAGAGGAGATACTGGGAAAGGAATCCTCCCCCCCTGCCAACACCACAAGTCCTGCAGTCCATCATCTACATGATGAGATAAATCTGATTTTCTTTTTTTTTCTTAGCTTGCTATAAATCCATTGCTTTGGATGGTTACACTGAAGACAGAAATGCACTAAACTGAAATAAAAACCTGTTGTAGAAAAATGCATCTTCTTTGTTAACCCCCGAGTTACCAGTTTATCAGGTAAAGTCCAATGCAGCCCCACAATAAATGACACCTTTTAGAAGGTTGTACCGTCTGTCTGAGAGGTGTGGATTCAGCTCTGTGGTCATTTTGTACGGTGATGTTTAAATGTATCGCATTATAAAAGGAAGCTATTTTTATTTTTTGGGAGGTGGACAGAATGTTAGAAGCACCTTGTTGTAGCTCCAGTAATAGCCGGCAACACTGTATATATGGTTCATATCTTTGATGGGTTACACTCTCCATAATCTATCGTATCTTCATAACCTGTATATTCAGTACTTAATCAACCATTTATCAGCAGTTCGATTTTCACCGTGATCCAAAAATAAAAAAAATTAGATGCTCTGTCATCTTTTCTGTAACCTACAGAAAGGTACAAAATTCTGTTTTAAGAGCACAGTTAAAGACATTCTGCTGCTTAGAGAACTATTCCCCTGCTAACAAGGATTCTACTTGTTGGTACGGTGTTTCTCTAAACTTCTTTCTCTCTCAGCAATTGGGCTGTGGTTGGGAGCCCCATACTTAGACACTGATTTAGTCTGACGCATAACATAAGGAACAGAAAAAAATGTACAGACATGGTGTAGATTGGAGACAAGAGAAAGGAACTATGGAGACTGTAGCCCACAGAGCAGAATGTGTGCTACATGTTATCTCAAACACATTTAACATTAACACATTTTAAAATCCAAAGCCAAGAGGCAAATTTCCAAATCCAAGAACAGGAGCATCCACTACGAGTGTTTTGCAAGCAGAACAACACGTGCCAAACCAGTGTTTACATCCAACCGGCTAGTAGCAGCGTGTACTGCACTCCTTCCCATAAAAAGACAGGACAGGCCTGTTAGTCTTGGCTTAGTGTGGCCTTCAAAGAGCACATTTATCACCGCATCTGGAGAGGGGCCTATCTGATAAAGCTGAGGAGCCGCAGCCTGGGACACCTCACAGTCCTCGCCTGGCCCTACTGGATCTTTTAATCCTGCTGCTTATTGTTTACCTGCAGCCCTTTGATCAAGCTCTACAGGTGTCTGATCTATGTACGCATCGTTCTCCCTACTATGTCCAGCTGTACACTGAATCCCCTTCCCACAAGGAGTATACTGGTTCATACTTGAGGTTATGCGTTGAAAAGTCAGGATGTATCTCATTTACGATTAAGTAGATGGAAAAGGATAACTGTCTAGGACATAAACTAACTGAATGATGCATTTGGATTTTCTTGGGACATTCAGTCAGGGTCATTCACCACGCCTCCACTCTCAGTTCTTAAAGGAGAGTATATTTAAAAGTGCCTCAGAGTGGGGGCTGAGAGACCCTCCAGATTTCTCAGTCTCTGTTTACCACACACAGACTGAGAGAGTGAAAGGGCAAAGCATAATAAGGAGGTATTGACCTCGCCCATCAGGTCAGTCCAAGTTCTTTAAACCGCCGCCACGCACAATAGTCACCACCATGCGACAATGGCGGGGTTCAGGCAACAAGCAAATCAAGTGGGCTGCACATAAAAGATTTATTGCATCACGCCACAAAGGCCTCCCATGGAGCTCCCTGCGAGGAGGACTCTAAGGCCTTCCATCGCGGTGAACTCCACTCGGTCACCCTGCTTTCTCTAGAGGGCCTCTCCACCACCTAAAGGCCTCAGACATAAACATTCAAATGAAATTGGGGGAACTTTTTAAGCAGCCTCCCATGCGGAAAACCTCTCCAGTTCTTTTCATCGCAACTGCAACCTGAAATGTAATTATTCCTTCCCTCTGAGCTGCTGCCACAGGCCCGGGATTGAATACTTCAGCAGAACGTGAGTGGAAACACCAGGCGGTGTTGGAGCGCATTTTGCTTAATTAAGTTTTCAATAACGCTCCTTAATCAAAGCTGAAACCTTTTGGGTATCCCGCAAGCCAAAGATCGCGACTGGGTATAATTTCCATTTTAGGACCGTGTTTATTGCAATGGCTCAGAAAGTTAATGCAGGTTATCAGAAGGTACAGTAAGTGTCTGTGGGTGAAAGTCAGACAGACAGTGGTTACAGGCAGTATAGTTAGGCAGTCTGTAGTCTGTTACCTGAGGCAGCACAGGGCTCTGTGTTGTTGTCAGTATGCGAGATGTTCCTCTTCCTCTCGTGCCGATAGACAAGATGAGGTTTGTTGTGCTCTTCATCATATTCCTCCCCCACAGCGTTTAAAAGAGGCTCCAAGAAGTATTCGCCATGTTGTGTCGTAAATATTCCAATCTAGAGCAGAAAAAAGGGATGTCATTGACGGCTTTGGTATGAAGCATGCGTTTGCATACGTGCACTCTGCACTGTATGTGTGTAGATTTCATTTCCAGATTAGGGCATAGTTTCATTCAAAGAGGTTGCGGTTTAATTGCAGTCCTTCTGTGTAGCCCTTGGGTACCAGTGAGCACATTATTTCCATGCTCTTTTTTTTTGACGGGTGCACATGGAAAGAACATGCTGACTCACAAAAGGTCAGAGAATATCTATAACAGCTCAGTATCAGTCATTGTTGAAATTGTAACCATGAGAACAAGCAATCGCGTGACATTCAAAACCTTTTATACGTTTATCAATACATAAGTAAGTCATCATGATTCAGTCAACCATTTTACACCTTCATGCATGGGCTACTAAGAGTGCTTGTTCTGGCTGTGAAAGTGCATTTCCCCTCACGACCTGACACTGGGACGAGTGACATCGTCATACATGGACAGAGCTGCTGACAGAGGAATGCTAATATTGATTTGGCAGCTCAGTCCCTCACAAAGCTTCTTAGCTCACTCCGCCATGAGGCACAATGGTGTTTGTATGGTAATTTCATGCGCACACTTAAATAGGATATTGGACACTGGAATGTTGTCTTTAAGGCAGCATTATTCCATAACCATCCCCATGAGTGATGGACGTCTGACAATGGAAAACGAATCGGATATGGAAAACATGTAGAAACTGTATGTGTACCTTTCCGCGCCGCCTTTCAAAGGGTGAAGGATTAGCTGGCTTGCACGTATGCAACGTACTTCCTCAAAAGAGCTACAGGCCTTGAGTGCGACATGTCTTCAGTTCTGCAGTGTAATAAGCTTGTGAAAACAAGACACAGGATAGGAACAACCACACTCAGAGCCTCAATGTTTCTTATGTACTCCAACTCTCCTGAAATGTTATTATTTCTTCAGTTCTGACAGGCCAGTGTAATAAGTATTGACAGAATCCAGTTAGGGTGTGTGTTTTGTGAGGCAAGGCAGCATGGTTTTTGCACAAAAATGTAGGTACTTTGTCATTGTCTAAATGTAATGAGTGATTCAAACAGTGTAACAACTGGAAGATGTTTACCTGTATCTTGTAAATCACTCTCTATGGCAAGTTAACTTTAATTAGACGATTATGGTTGAGCCTCTCTAAAGTTCTCATGTGGTGTTAATGGAAGGCTGAACAGACAAATGCTCAGTTTAGTCAATGGAGGGGGCAGAGTTTCAGGGTTTCCCAGCATTAGCTCAGCAGCAAATCTGGCAAAAGGTTTGGACAGACACAATGGTTGCTGTTCAGTAGCGGGTGCTGAACTGGACCTTACAGCTGAGGGACTCCTATTTGAAGCGAGGTCACCACCATGACATGGATGAAATGGTGTTGGCACACATCTGTTTTTATCAAAAGCCCCTCAACCCCGCGTCCCTCCCCGATGCCCCCCTGGCGACGGCTTTGAGCAACTCTAGACAAAAGGGGAACCTGCTTTTTCTAGAGTGACCCCTTTGTTTTAGGGCTTAATTATTCCTTAATGACCTCAACCCAACAAAATGTGCATGGCCATCAAGCCCCAGTGATCAGATACGGACTCATTTATGACCCTATAGCCTCTGGTGCTGTCTCCATTGTCCTGTCATTCTCAATGAGTGATGATGCGGATAAGCAACAAAGATTGCTTGAAAAAGGATGCAAACATGTTTGGATAAGCGAGTCATACATCAAAGTTGGGCAGAGGGGCAATTAAAGGCTTATTACCCTGATAATTCCAGCATACCTCATGCCTTAAATTGTTATATAAACATGAAAAAAACACTTAATGTGGTTTGGTGGTGGTCTCTGTTCTCCAAAGCTACACTGAATGGGAGTTATCCCCCACTAGCATGGAGTACAATCACTGAATGCATTGTGAATGTATTAGATCAACATGCTATCCTGGTACTGTACACAGTGCACCTATCTAAAATAAGGATTATGTCACTGATAGGGGGTGTGGCAGAGAGGGAGACTCCAGGGCTATGGTCCTCCTGTCTGTGTTGCTGAGTCCAGCCAAACACCCCCCCCAACCACGCAGAGTCCATGCCAGGATCCGCCTGGCTGAGGTCAACCCCCTGCCCCTGGACCAGCAACCTAATGTGACCCATAAAGTCATCCCCTTCAACACTTCTCAGATTCTCTCACACAGGAGTCTGCAAACTAAATGACTTCAGGATCCTCAAATGGTATAATGGGGCTGTAAACTCATTATTACCCAATAACTCTATTACAGCCCCATAACATCTAAAAGATATCTGATAAACGGCAATTAAAAAAGCAAACAGCTGCTTTCCACTGATTTATGTCTGCAGCTTGGGGACGCAACTGATCAGATTTTTCCCATCAATCAATCAATCAATCAGCTTGTGTTATCAGACCAACAGTCTCTAATACAAAGGTATTCAACTTAGAGGGATATGAAACTGAGAAAAGCACCAAGTCGGCACATTTGAAAAGCCGGAACCAGCATATGTTTGGCGTTTGAGATGGAAATATCCATCGATCAACTAATCAATTAATTGACCACTAGTTTTAGCATGTCTGCTGTTATTACTGGTTTGTTTTTGTTAAGGTTTAGAGGTTTCCTGTAGCAGCAAAGAAGTGGTTGATAAAGTAAAAGCACAGCCATGACACCAAATGGCTATTTGCTGCACATACGTAGGTTCAATTCAAATTGTACTGCCCCATATGTCAGTCAAAGAGCAGCAACCACAGCTCGAGCTGATCAGGGATTTTGCTCAAGGGCACTTCAGTAGAGTGGAGTCTTGTTGTCACATCAACCCCAGTCTCTAACATCACAACACCACCACCCTGATGCCCAGACAGCACTGTGCCCTACAGCAGCATCTCCCCACAGGCAATGAGATGCAGAGCTGAGCGCTCTCCTCATCGGTGACATTTGTCCAGTGACACTTGCTCTTGTTACACTCCCAGACACACACTTCCCTGGATGCATGGATGGAGGCCTGTCAGCATCAAAATAAAAAAAACTTTCAAGCTTGTGAAAAGTTAATACTCACAAGGCCAGTGCACAGGCTGAAGACCGCAGCGTACTCGCTTTTGGCGTTGACTTGTCCGCGGAAGAAGCAGTGGCGCATATCGCTCTGGTCATGGAAGTGGGAGTCCGTGGCGTTGCTCTGTTCCGCTCCCAAGTGTGTCACTGTGTACGAGGGGGCGATGAAGCCGGATTCTGCGGTCAGATTGAGGTGAAAGCGGTCCCCGAACGCGTCAATCCTGTAGTGAACCCGTAAACCCGAGAGGTCGTCATTTAAACTTCTCCGTCTCCGCCTGTAGTGCAACTTATGGGGGAATGATTCTCCGAAGTCATTGACGCGGAGCGGGGTGATGATTTCATACGATGACAGCTGCTTGATTAAGCTTTCTGCAAAAGGAAAAAGCAAAGAGAGAAAGTAGAGGCATCAATGTAACGCGCGCTGACAAGCCCCCCAAACGTTTGCACCACGCACCATTCCCAATTACCGCAGATTACTCTTGAAACATCTTCAACACGAGAACTTCACCGCACTCCTAAAATCACAGCAAAAACACTACCTTGTTTGGGATGCAATCGGTGTTGCAAAGTGTCCCGGACGAGCGCTGACAGATGACACATTAGTCCAACCAGCCAGATTGCAAACTGCATGATTTCCTCCGCGAAGGAACCCCTGGCTGTCGTCTCCAAGGCAAGTACCCTCTGTCTCTCCCGAGCGGCTCCCCCTCTCCCTCTCCTTTTCCCCCGGCTTGTCAGCAAAAGGTCGCGGGATCCGCGGAGGCTCTCTGCAGCGCAAGTCTTGCAAAGTGCACTGGCCTCATCGCATTGCTAAACGTGCATCCACTGCCCACTGTAAACGCGAACTATTTATGACACATTCATCCCCCC